AAACGAAACTCAAAAAAAGGAAAATATTCTGAGTAAAAGAAACACAGCCAACTAGGTCCTCCAGTAGAGAGGTTAGAATAAGGGTACCAACTTTTTGTTGCAGTCCATTTTAGGGAATGAGGGTATGATCCTTTATAAGGGAGTCCCGTTCATTCCCACATTCCCCAAAAAGATTCTCCCCAAGAAAATGAGATTCTGAGTAAAAGCCTGGAGTCTCCTTCTGACCCTTAAAAAATGGTTGGTCATTACCCAAAAGCATGGTCATGGACCCATTTTTACAGGGTCCTTAAAAAGACCCCAGTTGGACACGCCCCGTTTCGGGGAAACAATCGGCCCGCCTTGGGATTCTGCCCCAGGTGTGCCAAGAGCTCCTGGCTCTCCGCCTTCTCCTCCTAGTTCGAAGGAGATTTGGACCCCGGGTTGGGGTTTGGTGACACCACCTGGATCCCCAAGTAGCCACGTTTTTCCAACCACTTTACCCACTAGTAGCCCGTAACTTGGCAGAAGTAGCTGGAAAATAAGGGCAACTGGGGATCCAGGCATCCATTTTTAGGGGAACCAACTGGAAAGCAAGAAAGAAAATCTATTCTTCTGGTAGTAAAAGGGAAAGCAGAAGGAAACATTCGATTTAGACGGAACAGAAAGAAAGGGGAGGGGAATAGCCACCCCCCCTTAGCCCCCGCCGCTGGGGGGAGGGGTGCATGATTCTTTACCCCCATTTTCATCTTGGTTGCTGCAACGACCGCTCCGCAAAGAGTTGAAGACTCGTGCGTGACAATTCAGAAAATCCGACCAGTTTCAACAAAACAGTTAAATTCCACCAGGACCCCCAATGGCTGGCAAATAACCCCAAAACAGCCATGGAGAGGTCATTCCACAGACCATTGCCAGCCATTGGGAAGTCCTGGCAAAGATCCTTTACCAAAGAGCCAGAAAGGAAAAGGGTGCGTCTGACTTTTGCAAAGACTTTGCCGACTCAACAGGTTTGAGTTACGTCTGTCTTTGACCAAGGAATCGCATCGCATGCGTCGCCCAGTGAGGAATCAGCTTGCTTGTGCAGGTTGAAGGGGTCAGAGGTCCAAATCCTCGCCCAACCCGACAATCTTACAAACGGTAAACATGTATTGGGGCGTGCTCTCTATTGGGGATGTGCCGCCCTCAATCCGTGCATTGCGCAGGCAGGGGTTAATACAGTATCCACCTAAGACCACCCCCATTACTCCCAATGCCCCCAACAACTGTGGGTGTTTCTGTTTGGTATAGTAATGTTGGCGAAAATGTTTGAATGGTCAAACTGCGTCCTTTATTTCACGAGCCGTGATACCGAGCGGTCCTGGTTGTACCAAAGAGAACACCGTACGTGAGAGAACGCAGTCGGGTCCCAATTCCATTCTTCTGGTCTTCCCCACAACAGGCACCTTCCTATTTGCTTCAGCCCGTTGGAAAAAATTGGAACATATTTCCAGTAACGATAGATTCCCTTTAAAACCAACAGGGGAAACTAAAACATATTATGCGGCAACAAAAAAAACAAAAACAATGAAATTTCATTGTTACCGTGTCCCCTGATCGAATTGGGGCTGGGTCCCGACGCATTGGTGCGCCTTAAGCAGCGCTAGCAGCAGGTGCGCTGGCTCAACCACCTGGTGCTTCATCTCCAGCTGCTCCTGGCCGATGCTCCGCTCCCACGTTGGAGCTCTCACAGAGTCTTCCATTTGCTGAAATCAACACTTCTTATCGGGTGCGGATTTGTTTCCGAGATTGTTTATGTTTCCCTTCTTTTTACCCGTTTTTCGTCTTGGCCAATAAAAATCCGGAAAAAATACCCCTCCTTTCCAATCTCCCCGAGTTGGTATTGAAGGGCATCGATTTCACTGTTGGACATGTGTTGCGTTGTTTTTCATCACATAAGGCGCCCCTGCAAAGTTCTAAAGGGACCTGGGTGGAGCTCCAGGGCAAAGCCAGGGACAATCTGGCCCAACACCCAAGGAGAAACCTCAAAACACCTCGGGACAAGCCAGGGACACCTGAAGGAGCACCAATGCTTCGGACCTGGCAATCAACGAGAAATCCAAAGCAATGAGAAGCAAACGGATGACGTTGGAAGGGTTTCAACCACTAAACCACAATAAACAAAAATGTAAAATGTGTCCCAACAACAAGCATGGAGAAGCCTGGATGATCAAAGGCCACAGTCCTGAACCAGGAGCCTCCACTGGCTGGCAAATAACCCCAAAACAGCCATTGGGAGGTCATGCCACAGACCATTCATGGGTCCTGGAAAATCGGCGAACCTTTCGGAAGCTTGACTGGAAGTAGATTGAACTTGGACAACCAAATGGAAAAGAACGATTTGCTCCCGGCCATGCTAGTTCTGGGGTTGCGATACGTGATCCATCTAGCTCCGAGCGCAGCCAATCAATCCACCAGCGACTTGTAGGCCTTGCCAAGAGAATGATGCAATCTTCAAAGTACCTCCTGGATCTTCCAAATCATCGATTTGTTTCTATTCAAATTCGGAGACTACCCGATTTTTGAGGGTCTCAGCGCCAAAAACGGAGAAATCACCCGGAGACGGAGGACCCAGGACGGGCCATTCAAAGGCGCGTGGGCGCCGCGACGTCGCCCATCCACCAGAAAGACCCTCCGCTTCGCAACAAGTCGGGGTCCCCAAGCCAAGCCAACCAGCAACTGAGGCGACCCGCCCTCAAATGATTGCTCAGGAAAAGAAGCTGACAAACGCCGAAACCGCCTGACTGTAAGTAATTTGTGCGAACCTTTTTAACCCGGGCCACTGGTGCAAAATTTGGTGAATGGCAAGCTGTCATGTCAGTTTGTTTGAGGAACCCTGAATATTGAATATAGAAGTTCCTCGTTCGCACCTTTTTGATTCGTGCCCCAGGGCTGGCGTTGCGTCGAAGTCCTTCCGGGGCAAAGCATTTAAACTTCAATCGCATGACGGCCCTACGGGGTTCTGTCTCCAAAGTCAAAAGGGGGCGAAAAACTTCGGCCCTCATCCCCATCACACCAGCATTCTAGGGGGTGCCTTCCCCATTCTTTCCAGGCATCCTTCTTTAAAAAAAAAGGGGGAAACAGCGGGGTTTTGAAAAGAACGCTGGTTGAAAAGAATGGGGAATCAACCCCTAGAAGCATGGGTATTTTAGGCGTTCCGAATCAAAGTCAGCAGCCATGTTGTGTTCCCCCCAGGTCACTCCCGAATGCGAAGCTGTCAAGTTCCCAAAGTTGCCGGAGGTCGATTGTTGGTTGTTTGTTGGCAATTGGTGGTTCCTTGTTGGTTTTTGACTGTGTTAGTTGCTGGTTTGTTGGTTGCTTGCTACCTGGACCCTCAAACTACCCGCTAAAAAGGGAACTTACCAACCACAATGTTGGGTTGACGCAACCTGTTCTTAAGTTGGAATTTTGAGAGTTGAGGTGGCTGTTGCTGATATTTCGGAACACCTCACATTGGGCCCCCAGGACTGCACCCGTTCGAAGAAAAAAACATCGCCCCCGACGGGCCTTTTGGGCAGCCACGAGGCAGCGCGCGGTCATGGGGGTGAAGTGCATGACCACGCCTTCGACTTCGCTTCGAGTCCGAGTCGAGATTGAGGCGAGGAACCCGCTCTCAGCTTGGAATTGGGACGAATTTGCGAACGACATGCCCAGAACGGGTTGGCGGGCAACGCATGTTTCGAGATTGTTTGGGGTGTGAGGGCTTGGATTAAGCCAGTTTCAAGCAAGAAACCCATTGGGAGAGAAGCCCTCCCAGTACCGTAACCCCCAAGTTTGGTAAGTCAAGCAAGAAAATGTGGTCTACCTGGAGCCTTTTGACATGTAGGCTGGTCACTCGTGAGCAGTGTCAGTCTCAGAAGTAGCTCCTGAGAAGATCTCGAACACCTGCTCGCTGGTTGCGAAAGCGGCAGACCAAGCACCCGGGAAGAAAGACATGTGGCTGGGAGACACAAATGGGTGTGCGCTCTTTAAGGGTTACCCACTTCAGGTTGGTTCAAACGGAAAGACTTGACGATATTCTTAAGGGGTGCCGAAGAGAAGGAGCCCTTTGACATGGGACAACCCCCAAAAACTACCCTCCCTCCCACTAGCGTGGCACCTGGCAGGGGGTCCCGTCAAAAGGAAACTGATCTTCCAAGTACCTCCCCACAGGTGCCAAGTTAGTTGGAGGAAGGGTACTCAACCCGGAAAATATGAATCCTGGATTCCCATGGCCGGACAAAAAGACAACGTTGCGATCAGCTTCTATGCCTCTACAGTGAGCCTAGGAGGAGGGAAAACTTGGTGAAGTTCACCAAGCTACGGGGGTGTGTCTTTTGAGGGTACCCTATTCTTGGTAGCTTGAGAGCAAAAAGTAAAAAGGGTAGGATTTGCACTCCCACTCCCACTCCCCCGCCTTTGCGCACCCGCGTTGCCTTCGTCGATGGCGTTTCCTCGGCGCCCGACTTGGCGCGGCGGACCACGTACTCCGCCGCCTGCGTCGCGCTCCTCGCGGGCCGGGAGGACAGCACCAAGGAGCCGGTTTCTTCCATTTGGTCGAGACCCCTGCAAAAAATAACCTGGAAAAAGTATTAAATATGTCCAGTAGTCAGAGATTCCCCTTCAAAACCAACAGGGAAAGAAAAAAACAGAATATTCTTAAGCAAATGCAAGTTGCTTGTTCCCGAAACGGAGCAACCTTTGGGCTGCCTTTGAACCCCCCAAAGTGTTCTTCAATGATCTCCAAGAAGCGTTTGGAGCTTTCCAGGGTCCCTTGGTTCCAAACTCCGGCGATAAGAAGGCGCGGTCTCCCTGCGATGTCCCCTTTCGGTCTTGTGTGCTTCGTCAAGGAGAACCTGAGATTCATTGTGTGTCTCTATACATGCTATAATACAATATAATATATGGGTGGTGCTCAAAATAGGAGTCCCATGAAGTGGTAGGTATCCCTTTGGTTTCCCTTTCAATGCCCAGCAAAAGGGGGTTCACCATGTTGAGATACTCCCATATATATATATATACATATGCATGTATACATATATATATATATATGCATGGACATGCATGTACATGTATATATATATAGCCAATTGCCGAAGGGCACACTTCACAAAGGGAGTGATCTTCGGTGTGGGTTTGGCATTTGGGAGTTTCTCGAAAATCCGGACACATTTAAATCGGTTGGTACTTCAAGGAAATAGACACCAAAAGGAAACCATTCAAGCATTTTAGGGCTCCACCATTCTAAGGTTCGTCGTTGCCCCCGAAATTTTCACGAAACATGTCAGAAACCTCCATACACATGACGACTCGTATATTCTTGGATGACGCTGGAAGGGGACAACTTTAGCCGTTAAGTGGATTTGGATTTCAACCACTAAACCACAAGAAGCAAAATTGTAAAATGTCTCCCAACGACAACCATGTATTGTGAAACACCCATTGCTCGAGTTGGAACCATCTTAAGAGTGGTGGACCTAAATCCCCACCGAGTTCTGTGGGCTCAGATCCCCTAAATGTTTTACCCAGAGGGTTAAATGTAAAACCCCCACTAAAGCCAAAATAAAAAGCTAAAAATCTAAAGAGATGGCTGGGAACCACAAACAAACCCAAAACAGAGGTCCCCCGAAAAAAAAGTCCCAAAAACTAACTAAAAACTAAAAAAGAGACTAAAAACGACTAAAAACCCAAGGAACCGCATGGCTGGGATCCAAGTGACGTCCGCCCAACAAAAATTGCCCCGCGCTTCTTTCGGCGCCCAGCGCCTCGGAAACGCCGCCGCGCACACCGCGGCGCCGCTGGGGCACGCCGAGTCCGCGCGGAGCAGCGACAGCAGCACCGCGTCGGTGCAGATCTGGGCCTGGTGCAGCTCCTCAGGCGATGGTGGACGTTGGAAGGGGAGCCAAAAAAAAACACAACTTTTTGCAGCCACCAGAAAGGAAGGCTTGGACTCGAAAGTTGTTCTCTCCAACCTTAAACAATGAGAACTGAAAAAAAGGGAAACAAACATGTTTTTTGACTTCTGACGAAAGGAAGCGGAGCGCCTGGCTTGGACTCGAAGGATTGTTTCCCAACTTTAAACACTATGAGAACTGAAAAAAACACCAGAAAAAAATAAAAGCAAAAAGAACAAACAAGCAACACCTCCAACTGACATCCCAACTCTCCCAATAAAAAACAGGAGACACCACCTCCCTGGATCCCCAAGTAGTCACTTTTTGCCAGCCACTAATTGCCCACTAGTCTAGCTTAGTAGCCCATAATTTGATGCAAAAGTAGCCGGAAAATAAGGGCAGCTGGGGATCCAGCTTACAGTTAACTGGGGAATACAACCACTAAACCACAATAAGCAAACATGTAAAGTGTTTCCCAACAACACATGCCAATGGCAAACCCCCGACCTGACGTGGGAGCTGACCGAAACACGAAAGCACGGCAAAAAAGGGGGGGGAGTTCGCCAATTAACCATAGATGTTGGGTTGCTATCACCCCTTTTCTGGAGAATCTTGAGAGCTCAGGTCGCCTTTTTGGGGAGAAAGCGACGTTCTTAAGGAGACCCTCTGGCGGATTCCGCGTGGGCAACATCAAACCGGAGAGACAACTGACACGCACCCAATTCAACAATTTCTAGGCTCGCTCGTTTTGCGGCAAAAGCGGAAAGAAACGTGCAAAAAGAATACAATGACTAAAACACAAATTTTGTCCAGTCGTGCATATATATATATATATAGATATCCGTGAAGAGGACACTGCTGCTGAACTCACCTGCACGACCGACAATCTGCTCTATATGGATCCAGCCGTGCGAGCGTGCGAGCGTGCGTGCGTGCATGCGTTCGCGTGCGTGCGCGGGCGGGGAGGGCGGGTGTGCGGGCGTGCCTGTGTCCACCCTTTGTGCGTGATGTGCGGAGTTTGTCGCTTCTTCTGCTGTTTGATGTGTGTGTGTGTGTCTGTGTGTGTGTTTGTGTTTGTGCTTGTGCTTGTGCCTGTGCCTGTGCTTGTGCTTGTGCTTGTGCTTGTGCTTGTGCTTGTGCTTGTGCTTGTGCTTGTGCTTGTGCTTGTGCTTGTGCTTGTGCTTGTGCTTGTGCTTGTGCTTGTTGCTTGTGCTTGGGCTTGTTGCTTGTGCTTGTTGCTTGTGCTTGTGCTTGTGCTTGTGCTTGTGCTTGTGCTTGTGCTTGTGCTTGTGCTTGTGCTTGTGCTTGTGCTTGTGTGTGTGTGTGTGTCTGTGTGTGTGTGTGCTAAGTGTGTCTATGATGCGTGGTGTGTGCGTGTGGTGGTCTGTGCCGCGTGTTCGGTGTTGTGCGTTATTTTGTGTGTTCTGTGTTGCGTGTTCTGTGTTGTGTGTTCTGTGTTGTGTGTTCTGTATTCAGCGTTGCCTGCTCTGTGCGGTGTCGTACTGTGCGCTGTTCTGTGATGTCAGTGTGTGTGTGTTGTATCAATCATCTTGAGTTCTGCTGTGCTCGGTATTGCTGCGTGTCTGTGTTTATGGGGCGCTAGCTAACAAAATCCCATCGGTCGAATGCAAGCCCTATGTCTAACGGGTCACGAACCAATCAAATAACTAATAATTAATCAAATGTCTGACTGACTGACTGACTGACTGACTGACTGACTGACTGACTGACTGACTGACTGACTGACTGACTGACTGACTGACTGACTGACTGTCTGACTGACCAACTGACTGAGCGAGCGACCGACCGACGGACTCACTTTCGAGCATTCATCTGGTCCCATGTTCAACCCCTCTCCTGCGCCACCTTCTCAGCGTTCTGCAGTACCGCGATGAGGTCGTCGCTGAAGGTTTTGTAGTCCTTACTTCCCGGGGTCCCCGATTGCAAAAACGATACACCTTCCAATGGCTGGCAAATAACCCCAAAACAGCCATTGGGACCATTTGCTAGCCAGTGGGGGGGTCCTGGTTGTTTCGGGTCATTTCTGACAGGTAATGACCACTATAAGTGGCTGCTGGACAGCCGAGACTCCGGGCTCTTCTCTTTGGTCTTTGCCCGCCGCGGCGCCCTCCGCGCCCGTCGCAGGGCTGCCAGACCGCCCGCCAGCGCCGCCCCAAGCGGCGCCCGCGAGTCGGCCCGAAGCGGAGCCTCCAAAGCGCCGGACGGGGCGGACCGCGGGGCACCGAGCCGCGGCGGTCGAGCGACAGCGGCGCTGATGGCCGGCGGAGCCACGCGCAGCGACATCCAGTGGAAGAGGTGGAAATGGATGGCGCCGCACTGGGCTTGAATTCAAAGCTGCAGAGGACAAAGACTCATACCCGCAATGCGGTTGATATATCTTCATGTGAGCAAACAAGAATCGCTTTGGGGTTCTCATTGCCAAAGGCCTCGAAAATGCGTCCGCGTTGGTGTTGACACTGTCCCATAAAATGACACCGAGAAGTCTTCCCCGTGGCCAAAGTGCGGCTGACTTGGACGCCGGATGCCAGGCGACGGCCTCGAAAGTATGCTTCCCACCGGCCGAATCTCCATTGCTTGAACAGGGGAGTCTTTTTGCCACCTTTGGTGGAAAAATGATCGAGCCCGTTGCAGTGAAGGATTCCTTTTTGAGGGGGTCGCCAACTTTCTCACAAAAGGTGGCAAAAAGACCCCCCCGACCTGAACAAGTTGCAGCTGTGGGTCGGTACCCTGCAAGTACGCGACTCGTTGGCGGCTTGATGCTTCTTCACGCTTTCATTCACCCAAACGGTGATGCGCGTGATGCGATCACACACAGAGCACAGTTGTAGCTTGCTTCACAGTGCAGGTAGGTACATCAGCCACAACATATTCGACTAGTGTCCTTGGCTCGGGCCCCTGGTGTACAAGGGATGGAACCAACAACATGTGTGAGTTGCTCGTATCAGCGACCCCCCTGAAGCCCCCCCCCCCCGTTTTACACAACAAAGAACATCCGGTTGGGAAAGATGAAAATTAAAGTGGACCATTTTTGGCGGCGTGGAAAGGGAGGGGTGGCGTGTTTGGGGGGAGGGGGGTGTTGCCTAGGAAAAGTTCTATGATTTCTGCCTGCTTCCAACTTGGGCATCTTCATATATAGTCTTCCTGAGTGGATTGGCTAACAAACAACTGAACTGTTTATTTACCACTAAAACATGGTCTTATCAAAAAGTATAAAGTCCAAGAACTCGGGAAGTGAGTATATAATTGTGATGCACGTTCTATCGCACTACGTTTAGTCGTCTTTGTAAACAAATATGTGTAGTGGCTAGGCTGGAACCGTTTTGCAGTGATTTTAAAGGGAAGCCCAGGAGGAAAACATTTTTTTCGGTGGGGGGGTCCCCTAAAAAAGGACACACCCAAGCATTGCAATTGCAAAGGAGCAAGGACATCTTGTCAGCAATGCTTGTGGCACCCAACTCCGAACTCCGGGCGTGCCCGGCGTCGCCAAGTGTCGGCCAGCCCGGCCGACCGCACAGGCGGAAACCCGCAAGCCTCAGTCGTTGGATCTGATGGCAAAGGGTGACGAAACCCACATGGTCTGCCCGTTTCTTGGTTGACGTTGGAAGGGGAGCGAAATTTTAAATCTTAGAAGTCAAGTGGGGATTTCCCACTAAACCACAAGCAAAAAAACGTAAACCGTTTCCCAACCACCACCATGGTTTTGGGTCCCATTCGACTTTGGATTTCGGGGCCCTGAAAATGGGTCAAACACTTGTGAGAGCCTAAGAGGGCTCGGGAGCCTCTCGGTCCGGGAGTCTGCATAGGGGTGACCCTTTGGGGTGGAATATGGTGGAATGGTGATAAGCAAAAATACTTTCAAACTGCAAGTGGAAAAACTGGGCCCTTCAAAATGAAATGCTCAAGGGCCCCAACAAATATACAAATGTCTTGGCTTCCTTTTGTTGCCAGGTTGCCTTTGTCATGAGAACCCAGTTGAAACCGGAGATGCTTTGAGGTTGGCAAGTTTTGACGGGGAAAAGCAAACACGCCCTTTCAGAAGGGAATATATAAATTTCGTCTCCGAAGGAAACATTGTTTTTTGTTGAGGTTCGGTCCTTTGCGTGCGTGTAGGCCTTGTGCTTCCTAAGTTCTTCCTCGCGCAACAAGCGAAAACCTCTTTGGCGATTCGTTGGAAAACACTCATCCCATGTTCCCCACAAGTACAAGAGCTGCCAAAGCAATTCATGCTGCCGTTTTGCATGAGCATACCCGCTACAACAGAATCGACATTCATGCTTTTCGTGCCACCCCCAAACGCACCTTCACTGTTGGCTCATGGTTGTGCTTCGCCAAAGGGCAAGGGCTGGGGTCTGTCGCTACATGGCCTTGCCAAACTCGCAACAGACCAACAAAAATAGGTGACCGGTTGGACAACTAGATGGGTTTCCCTGGTACATGAACCATAGAACCAATTTCCAAGCCCATGGAACCCATCTATTTCTAACCCAAGGAACTGGAAAAACAAGATCTACGCCTTGGAGTTGTCGGTCGCAACTCCCCTGACTTCTTTTTGTTTCCGAAGCCAAACCGCCCAAACGGCCCGCTTTGGCCCGGGCTCGGTGCCTCCTGAAAGCTGGATGCACGTAGGCCTTGCTCGTATTTGAAGGTACTCTTTCTGGGTCAGTTTTCCAGGGAAACCAAAAGGAAACCCCTTTTTTTTGGGGGGGGGGTCTGACTTTTTGTTTTTTTAACGGAGGAAAAACACAAGCCCTGTTTGCAAGTGGCTCTTTCAGGGCTCCTATGCGGATGAAAGACCCATAGGACCGGCCGGTTTCCACCGGCCGCATTCGCCACACTTCAGGGTCTAGAAACTGGTGCTAATGTTGAGCCCATATGGCTGTGGCTCAAAAAACCCGGAATTCCAACATGGGTTGCGAAGCCTGGGAGTGGAGACTTGGAAACACGGACCAAAACCTGCGGTTTGCCCCTCCTGTTTAATTTTGAGCCACAGCCATATTCATGAACCCCAGTGTATTAATAGGAAGGTGTACCTGGGTTTAGCGGGGAATCAGCACTTTTGGAGGGGCCCCCACCCCCCCATTAATGCATAAATGTGATTCAGAGCCAAAATGTCTCTAGGATGTTGGCACATGCACACCCGAGCCGAACGAGTTCTCTTGCGCCGTAATTACCAGATCCCTATGGCTGGTCAACACACCTATGGTTGGTGCGAGCCAAAAGACAAAACGATTGACCTGAACCCTCCAAATTCCCTTCACAACTGGTTATAGCCCCAAACTTATGGGGAGAATCCCCATTTTATGAGCAGCTTGAGCGTCCAGGGACACATGTGGCAAATGCAGTAAACAGGAGCAGGTTCGAGCCTCCCTCCGCGACGTCCTACCACATGACTCACTGACTGCCTGTGTTTTTTTCACGGAATGCTCGAGACCAGTACCCCGTGACCTTGGGAGTAGTGAACCCATCTTTCAAGGTCAAGCCATCAATTGTTCTTCTCTTTCCAGTTGAAAGCCTGGAAACATCAACAAACAGTACCCCAGCTCTCTGTGGTTTCCTCTTCCTGAAGCAGACCTCTACTACAAGAAGTGATCCAAGCTTCCTTGAGGAAACAATAAATGCAACTTGGGACAATCCGCAAACTAAATTTACTGGAGGCAGCAGGATATGTCGACAGCTCAGCTGCATCCTTGATCCCGTTGCCCAGCCTTGGTAGAAATAGGCCCCGCTTTTTTGGAATTGACCATTTTCACTGGGGACCCTACCATACCAAAAAGGACATCGGTCGGGGTTTATCACGATTGCCCCACCAAAAGTAGAAACAACTAGGTCCTCCAGATACTGTTTAGAACAAGGCTACCGTTTCTTTCTTCTGCAGTCTGGGAACCCTCCCCCAACGGGGAGAGAAGGGCACTGAGGGACCTAGTTCCTTTTTGTCGATTTTAGTAGGGGAAGCGAATCTCCCAAAGGGGTGAGAGGTCGGGTGGACCACTCTGAGGTCTCGGGACCCGGGCCCATGGCGCCGCAAGCGCTCGCCACGTGGTGTTGTTGGAATTTGGGACTGGTTGGTTCAGCATTATGCTTTCCAGCCATACATCATCCTTAAGCAAATGGAAGCTTTTATGTCCAGAATCCATGTTCCTGCGGGTGTGAGGGTACCCTCTGTTTTGTGGTTTCAAAGGGGACCAAGAGAAACACCACCCATTTTCGGGGGGGGGGGGTCCCAAAAACATCCCATGCAGGATGATGGTAAGTGATTCCTTGTGTCTGGCTGCTACGCTATCAAGCCGCAATGCAGCTGTTTTGGGCCCAGAGCGCATTTTTCTGCCACGCCTGCCTGTCACTCCAAACCCAGCTCCAGGGCTTGACTCTGAAACTACCCAAAAACAACCAGGAATTCAACAACCATCATTCTTGGGCTATCACCCATTTGCACGTCGGAATTTTGAGGGCTCAGGTAGCTCGGTATATTTTGAAAGGCAAGCATGGCTTCAGGTGGACGCTGAGGGGCAAAAAACTGAAAAATCCCGTGCCCCGTGCCCCAACTTTTCGCGGGTGCGCCCGCGCAAATTCAACTGAGCCGGAGCGAGGTGCGGCCGATCTGTGAGGCGAAGCTTTGCAACGACCACGAGGGTGTTGATTAAGAGGTCCGTTTGGGGGGCCACAGAAAAGATGATATTTCCCCGCTAAGTCACCCTTGGTCATTTGGGGGCAAACCACTAAGATGATTCCCAAGAAAATGGGAAAAGTCACCTTTGGTCATTTGGGGGGCCCTAAATGGAATATGGATCAACCCCGAAACAGCCTGCAAAGGAAGAAAGCCAGGGTATGGGAATTACACCTGTCACCACTGGAGAGCCTTCCCAAATCGCTATGCGTTTGCTTGAAGGGAAGGTTCCCTGATATATCACACAAGTGGGAAGCCGCCTTCCATTTGCTTAACCCCCCCGGACAAAAACACATCCAGTAGTCATAGGCTCCCTTTAAAACCAGCAGTTGTTTTTTCTTAAGCAAAGGAAGTCGCGAAGAAACCTTGGAACGAACAACATTGTTTTTCTTCAGTCGGCTTGTGGTCGCGTCACCCGAGGACAACTGGCAGCATGCTATCCTAGACTGTTCCTTCACTTGCTTGCTGTAACGACCCCTCTGCAAAAAGTGCTTAACATTTTATGGGTCCAATTCGGAAAATCCGGCCTGCTAAAAACAAGTCAAAGTGTAAGCGAATGGCAATAATGTTTAATGCAAATTTGTTCTTGCAGGCTGCCATCTGGTTCGTGGAGGGATGTCATGCCCCGAACACCCCCCCCCCAAAACCCCTCAGTTTTTGAGCAATTTAAGT